TTAATTTAAAATATTATTATTAATATTAATTGTGAAATTAAAACTTGATTTTTGATTAAATAAAGTATAAACCTGATTTTTTAAAACATCTAACTAAACACCTGGTTTAGTGTAATTTTCCCAATTACATTCGCTTTTGGGGCCCTTTTACTTGTTAAGCTTTGGCCCACTAATCCACCCAATATATGGGCCAAAATACCCAAGAGTTAAAATTCAGTTGAATTTAGTCCATGTGATTTCATTGTAACTATTAAGTGTTAAATTCTTTTTTGAAAAAGACTACAGTAAAATCTCAATAAATTAATAATGTTGGGATCGAGAAAACTTATTATTTTAGAGAGATTATTAATTTATCGGTAAATGAATATTTATTAATTTATAGAGTATTTTATATTTTATAACTTGTATTATATTTTAACATAATACATGTACAAGATTATATAAATACATATTGAATGTGGTGAAATTAAAAAATTTAATATATATAAACACACATACATACTTTAAAGAGAAAACATTAATATACATGCATTAACTTCAAAATTTAATATCTTAAAGATTAATCGTTCAAGTTATTTCATGTACATATAGAACATAATTTCTATAGCTATTAGCATTATCTTTTATAAATTTAAGTAATTATTTTATATATTCGTTGGACCTTAAAGGATTTAAAAATAAATATTATCTTGTGTATTTAGTAAAGTTATTACTTTAATACACTAACTTAAGTTGGAATTGAAGAATTTTATTATTTAAGCAGATTATTAATTTATCAAATATTTATTTATTGATGTTTTATTGTATATGGTCGGTCACTCTACTCCCTTGCACCATGAAGTTCCTTCTTCTTCTTGTTTATTTATTTATTTATTTTTTTCCTTTTGAGATGAAAGATGTTCTATTTAAAATTTTAGTTGAAAGAGTTTTAGAAAAGGTAGGAAAATGATGATTTGTAACAATAAATTTATTTTCTTCAAGTTTGAGTATATTTTCAAGAAATCTAGTGAAATTCCAAGATGTAAAAAACTTGCACATTTTAGTCTTGATGTCATGTTTTAATCTTTAAATCAAAAGGGTAATTGACACAAAACCCCTCATCTTTGTTTTTATTACAAAATACCATTTATCATTTTAATCAGTGGAAAACCTCCTTAGATGACCCAAACCTTACAAAGTATTCCATATCGTCCAATTTTGTTAGTTTAGCCTTTAAATGCAATAAATGGGACCAAAATTAAAATGAAACATGGATAATTGGCACAATACCCTCTGATGTTTGCCTATTTTGCGTAATATCTCATAACCTTTCATTTGGACGCAAAATCCTCATAAATCATCCAAATTTTGTGGAATACAACATTTTCATCTTTTTTTTCTCCATAAAACCTTTTAAAATTACGAATTCACCCCCTCATTAAATAAACAAAAATAAAAGAAAGAAACAAAGAATTAATTGCAGCTATAATACCCTTTTTTTTTTCCCAAAAAGTGCAAACCCCTCTCAATTAAAATTTAAAATATTTAAAAGAATAAAATTCTCTTTTATCTCCAACAACTCCACCTACCTCCTATCCCATCACCATCACCATCACCATCACCACACACACCCCATGTTCTCTTATTCTACTTCTACATTCTCTTTCTAGAAATTATTGAATATGTAGCTCATTCATAACTTACTATCAATTAACTTACTATCAATTATTGAATATGCGTTCGTGCGAACTACAACTACTAGAAAATAGTGAGATCATTAGCGAAAGAAGGATCAATGACGATCATATCCTAAAGGAGAAGGAGGAGTAAGCTTTCTTTGAAGATCTAAGAATAAATTGGACAATTATGACATTCGAAGGAAGTATTCTATAGAAGAAAGGCCTGTTACGAGCAAGTGGAGAAGAAAGATCTACAAAGGTTCTTATCTCATTCCATTCTAGTGGCTTCACCGAACCAATGGCGAAAACTAAAAAATCCATGGTTTCCCGGTAGAAGTCTATTTTGCCCAAGTTGTTTTAGAACCAAAAAAAAAGAAGCGATTTTTCGCACGGCTTGCTCATAGTGCAGGTGAATTCATATATAATAGTGAGAATTTAAACATAACTGAGAACACAACTTTTCATTTCACTGAGCCCCATTTTTCAAAAGACAAGGAGTTGTTTTATTTATACAATGTATATGATTGTATTCTATAAGAAATTTTCAAAATATCATAATAAAAATCCTAATGAAAGATACTAATTAGAAGACTACCATGCATAAGCAAAACCTTAATAGAAGAGGATATTTAAAAAAAAAATTACCATAAAATACTAAAATCTTAAAAACTGCAAAAAGAATTCACATTTCCATACTCAGGCTACATCGATATAATTGTAGAATTAAATTGCCGAACAGCATTTATAAGGTCTAAAGTGTCTTCAAATTCTCGTCAAGGATAGTAGTCGTCGTTCATGGAATGATTCCTATCATGGTCTCTAGACCTTCCCAACTTTCTCATAGCAACATTCCTGAAATATATGGCATTTTGAGCTTGTGAGCAGGACCTTTGCATTCTAATGCCACTATGACTATTTCTTGATTCCATCATTTGGTTGAGGGGCAGCCTTTTCTTAGCTCCTGGTTCAGGCCTTTGTTTTGGAGCACTATGGGACCTCAGTTTAGCTTTGAATGACTGTGTGTTCACCATATAATTTGGATTATTTGCATTACTAAAGTAGCCTTCCAAACAGGCACTCTTTGCTGGTGTGACAGCTACATTGCATCCACAGGAATTTGAAAATCTTGGAGTGCTTTGGGCTGTGGAGAAGCCAGTTAGGCCCCACTCCTGGTCCTGGAAATTCCTGGAATCGGGTATCAATAAACGTGCCTGAATCCCAGTCGGAAATGGAGAGGAATTTGCTTGGCCAAATGAGTCATTTCCGGCATCTGAAATCCATGAGTTTGTTCTCCTGGATCTTGATTTGGGCCTGCCTGTATCAACCTCCACAATTTTGGGGCTTTCATCAAATGCATTTATGGCACTCTCAAATGATGCAGAAAGCTTTCTGCTATGGATTGACATTGCGTGCTCACTCCCATCTTCCTGCATAATGAACTGAGTTTAAATTTTTCTTTGAGTAACAATGTGAGGATTATACTTCGATAAAATTTAAGTCAAAATCAATAATTAATTTTAATCACATTTTATAGTACCTATAATTTTTATTAACTTTTCAGCCACATGTTTCATACACTTTTATTAAAATCTATTAAAAATCTTATTTTTAACTACACCAAACATGGACTTAATTTTGTTATCTTCACGCAGCCACTCAATGTCAATCCAGAGACATAATATACTGAAACTAACCTCAGATTTGCAGGCATGGAATTGAGGCTGAAAACTCCCATTATTGATGGTGAAACCTCGAGTTTTTTGTGCACGAACACTGGCTTGTACTCGAATAAGAGCTTGCATGCTATGAAGCGTAGCAGCGGCTTGTTTACGCACAAAATATCCTCTCACCACTGCTTGAAGCTTCACTAATCCTTTCAATGCCCTCAAAGCTTTTCTTGACTGTTTTTCCATTTCCAACCCAAATTCATAAATAACAAATGGAAAAAAAGAAAAAAAAAAAAAAAGAAATGTTGTAATCTAATGATGGAAGTTTCACTAAAAGTAAGAAAGACAATGGGATTTTGCTATGTAGACAAGGCTTGCTCCATACTTGACTTACGAGCTGGTTTATTACTCACCTCTATCTTTAAAGGGCCGTACGAAATCCAAATTAAGACAGGATTAATTTACTTACCAAAAATCCACGGAAGACTGTCTGGATCTTGACAGCAGCCCACTTTTCCCGGCAATCTCCAAACATTGTACCTCTACCATGACTGGTGAGCCTAACAACTGCAACAGCCGCCTGTGCGGCAGCAACGGCCGCATCAGCTGCAGCGGCAGTGGCGGCAGCCACCGCTATTGCATGCTTACTCTGCTCATTCTCCGACTCACCGTAGAAAGATCTCAACCATGCAGCCTCAGCAGGAGTAATATTTGGCGGTATGGTCGTCGGATTGTGACACAACCCGGTGGTGTCCCTCCCGGGAATCCGCAGGTTCTTGATTTCCCGGCCACCGGAACTTGAATTTTCATTTTTATCCTTCTCTTTCTTTGTTATTCCAAACCCAAAAAGACCCTTCAGCCACCTTGTTTTTCTTCCCATTTTCACTTGATTTCAAGAATGAAAAACAATTGGGTGGCAAGAGGGTATTTCTAGAAAAACTTTAGGCAGGCTTTTAAACTTAGGGCTTACACAGTTCAAGATTCTTAGTCCAAAACTCTGCATACAGCAAGAATCTAGTTTCTTTCCATTTTTTAGTAAAGCTGCCATAGAAAAATTGAAAACCTCTTAAAAAGGTAAATTATAAACTTAAAAGTGAATCTCGTTCTTTTTACAACACAGAATTACAGCTCAAGAGTTTGGCTTTTTCTTATTGCAGAAATTTATCATACAAAGTAAAAAATTATAGATATGATGCAACATAAAAAAATTGAGGCAACCCTTTTTTACTTGTGAAGACTGGAGTGATTAGAACTTGAAATTTTCAACCATTGAAACGTCTGAAAAAATAAGAAACGTTAACATCGTTCTTACACATTCGAAACAAAAGAAAACAATATGTGACAGACCTCGTGATTCATCTGCATTATAAGACAAAATTGTAAGGCAAAGAACTGCAGAAAGAAATTAACATAGAAAGGTAATTTTTTCTTTCTAGTTTTCAAATAAAAGAATCTTTATTTTGCCAATCACTCCCTCGTTTATTATGAAATTTTCGATCAGCCTCCGTTGTGAAAATTTTGGTTCTCATATAAACTCCAATTCTTACATAGCTTGAGACCATGGAAGAATTCAGTATATATTTGTACGTAGATAGTGTCAATGCACCGGGAGTGATTTCTTGAACCTCACCAATAGTTATTTGATGTTCGTAACTAATGCAATGAAAAGCGAGAAACAATAGTACACACACGAGCAATAAATTGTTGATTTTAGTAAATAAGATGTTGGATCAAGAAAATTATAGAAAGAAGGTTGAAAAATCACATCAATTTTTTTGGCGACTACAATTCAAAGACCAACAAAAAGGAAAACAACAATTTCAACCGACCTAGTGCATAGTTTAGCACCTCTGTTGCACGGACATTTGTTGGATATCGACACCATGATCATTTTTTTATTAGAAACATTATATGTTTTTAATTTAAAGTTATTAGTAAATAATCAATATGTATTCATATTTAAAATATTTCAACAAAAAAATTAATAACAAGTATAAAACTAACTTTATACTATATAAATAAAGAATTTTAAAGAATATAATCAACTTGTCGACCATGTGTCGTGTGAGTACTTTGAAAAATCATGTCTGTACATTCGACACGTATCCATGTCGGTGCATTATAGTTTAGCACTATCACATGCTAGTGAACCTTTTATTAATTTTAATGCCTTCTAGAAATGGCTCTATCCTCCTAACATTCCCACTATTACTTATAAGCCAACGCTAAAAACACACTTGCAAACGCTTGCTTGATATGGTCTTCTCTCTAAGTGGTTGCAAAATTTATCAACAACATTGGCATCAAATGCTATCTTTCCTGAAACCTCCTTTTCTGAAATTATATAAGATAACACTGAGGGAGCATCGTCTCCAACTTAACTAGGATGGTCAAGAAGCTCAAGTATTGTTCGTACCAAACTAGTCTTGATTCCTACATCTTGAAGATAAGAATATAAGTGTTTCTTATGATGATCAAACATGTGCAGCATAGCAACCTTGTCCAACGATACTTATCCTCGATCAGTTTAGTCACAACAACGAACTGCGTCCATTAGACAATTCAATTTATGCATTTCTAGTTTCTAGATTGGTTTTCAACACAAAGACGAGGGCTGTAAGATCTCGTTGATTTTTTAGTGATCTAATTGCAACTAACTTTGGGGACTTTTTAGTGATCTAATTGCAACTAACTTTGGGGACAATCTTGTCTGATAAATCACTTTAAGAGAAATCAGATTTGACAGGAGGAAATGCCCCCGCTTCTAAAACGGCCACAGCCCTGGAATCAAGATGGCTGCAGCTACCAGAATTGCAATAATTTCATCGAGATCCTAGCTATCCCCACCACCGCTGTGCTCAGATCAGCAGCAAAGAGAATGAATACGATGGAGGGGGCTCGTGCCAACCATGTGCAATTTTAACTATTGTATTCTTTACTTGCTCGGGGTTATCCAATGCACGTGCCTTTCATTTGCATTTTTGTGGAAAATTACAAAATTGTTTTGGATATATAAATGGAAAAATCTTATTTTTATTACAACACATACAAAGAAATTATACTTTCTGAAGAAATTTAAGATCTATTTTCTACGAAGAAATTCATCCTTTAAACAATGTAAATTATGCATTTTTAGCTCTGGTTGAAGGGAATATATGGCACAATGATGCAATGACCCAATGGGCTGAAATTGTTGGCCCAGCTGGTATTTAAATTGAAAGCCCAGCTCTTAAATCCGTTTGGTTCTCGGTGCAAAGGAAAAACGTGTTTTGTGAAACTGAAGTCGTGTTTTCTACTTACCTTTTGAATGGACGGCCAGGATGTCACCAAATGCAATCTCCACAGCCGTTGGATGAAAGGCGTTTCTGGAGACTCCTTAAAGTGGCGTCTCTAGGGTTTGAGGATCATTATCGCTTCTGGTTTCTGGACTCTTCGTCTCTCTCTACTGCACCGTTTTCTTTCGTATTTCCTCCCTTCACTGTAGAAATCAAATACTCTTATTTTGATTTCTGGTTACCCTCAATAATCTGTAAATCTTGAGTGATTTAGTTATTTGAGGCTTTGTTCTTGAGTGAACTGTGTACTGTGAAGAGGGATCTCTTATTTTGTGTAATAATCGGTCTAGTCTGAGTGTCCATTTCTTGTATCTTCATCTTGGCTGTGATTTACACTAGATCAGTGGTTGTTCTTATGTAATCTGAACGAGTTTTACTGATTACTTGGCTTGGGTGCTTTGAACATAAAGATAAGTTTTATGTAGTTCATATTTCAGATTTCTGTGTTCATGTTTTTTAGATTCTTGAAGTTTATATTTCAGTTTTTGTTTCTTATTTCTTGCACATA